TACTCCTGGCTCTGTGGCTTGGAAAGATACTTAGGCTCCCTGAGTTTCTATTTCTTTCTTTCTTTTCTTTTATTACTATTTTTTATTTATTTTTTTTTGGCTGCCTTGGGTCTTCGTTGCTGTGCGCAGGCTTTCTCTAGTTGCGGTGAGTGAGGGCTACTCTTCATTGCAGCGCATGTGCTTCTCATTGCGATGGCTTCTCTTGTGGCAGAGCATGCGCTCTAGGTCCACGGGCTTCAGTAGTTATGGCACACGGGCTCAGTAGTTGTGGCTCAAGGCTCTAGAGTACAGGCTCAATAGTTGTGGCACATAGGCTTAGTTGATCCGCAGCATGTAGGATGTTCCCAGACCAGGACTCGAACCTGTGTCCCCTGCATTGGCAGGTGGATTCTTAACCACTGCACCACCAGGGAAATCCCTCTGTTTTAAAAAATATTTATTTATTTATTTGGCTGCGCCAGGTCTTAGTTGTGGCATGTGGTATTTTCATTGCCGCATGCAGGATCTTTAGTTGCAGCACGTGGGATCTTTTAGTTGCGGCATGCGGGATCTAGTTCCCTGACCAGGGATTGAACTCGGATCCCCTGCATTGGGAGTGTGGAGTCTTAACCCCTGGACCACCAGGGAAGTGCCAGGTTTCGATTTCTTTAACTCTAAAATGGGGATGATACTTGCTGCCCCATCTAAGTTATAAGGCACTTATGAGGATGAAATAAGATTTTATGTGTGAAAGTGCCATGTGAAGCACTGACAAAAAGTTTTCCTCTTATTAATGATTATTATCATTAAAATAGATATTCTATTTGATGTTTTTTAGCTCATCTATTTTAATTTTTGCATATAAATAATTTATATGATATAGTTACATATTAATAACCTCATATAATTTATAAACAATGTTGTGGGTGCTTAGAAGTTTTTTTACTGAAAGACATACATAATCAAAAAAGCTTGAAAACCTACTGATCTAAAGAAGTGTTTATGATATGAGCTCATTCATGCAGTGTTAACACATTATTGACTGGGGGATTTTTGCATAAACTAATGCCTGTGGCCAAAGATTTGTTTTGTAAGTGAATATTGAAACACCCACGTTTGAGTAAATATCAACAACTTTTTTTGCACTTAATGTATTTATTTGAAACTTTGTACATGTCTTACGAAAGCATTCTAATATTTCGTTAGAGTGTGATAGGCCCTAGCAGGCACCTCTGTGCAGGGGAACAGAACATCTATTACAAATATACCATGTTTCACTGCACTTTCCCCTGGAAGAGCAGACTCTACACTTTCTGGTGACATTTTTTTTTTTTTAGTCCTGTGGATATTATTTCCTCTAGAATACGTTATTTTATTTTACTTGATAGTTGACAAGGTGGATCTTTGTGGGGGACTCTTTTAGAAACGCCACAAGAAGGACCAGGTGCGGGACTACCACTACATTCACCAGAATGGTCAGTTACCCATTCTCTAACTATTGCTAACAAAAGTTGCTTGTAAGTCATTTTATTCTGTGCGTTAAAGCCACAATTAATTTTAAACACATTGAATAAACTGCAATTACTCAAATAGAAACCCACTTTCTTATACCATTTTTGAGTTTTCCAGAGGATATTGAAGTTTTCCAGGCATTGATCAGATCGATCAACTCCTTATATATTTATTATACTCTATTAGACAAGTGGGCTTAGTTATCTGATGGCCACTCCTCCTGTCTTCCTTTCCTGTAGATGCTATGGAGGCGTCATGAATAACTGTCACCATGCGGACTAACCCCTTGTCTTTCCATATAAGAAGAATCACTTCTCCCTTCCATAAGAATGTCATTTCTCCCCTCTGTAGATTTTTAGATTTATCCTTTAATTGGTTTGGTAGACCACAATTATCTCTTATAGTCCCACAAACTCTGGTTTTATTTTTCAACAGTATTTCAGATGTGGACACACTGTTGTAATAATTGTCTTGGTAAATATGGTGCCATGAACTAAGATAAGGTTGTAGGACTGAAACCGTTTCTTGAAGTTTCTTTTCTTCACCCATGTAAGTCTCAAGGTTACATATATATCCGGTTTCACTTTTGCTAACCATCCTGACCGAAATTCCATATTTTGTAAGTTTTCCGGGATTATAGGTTTTGAATCTGAGTCGTCCTCTCCACTTTATCATTGCCTCATCAAGTGATAGCTCTTGTTTGAGTATATAGATCAATTGAAATTTTGGTAGAAAATAATTCAAAAGAGCTTTAACTTTTGAAATTCTGTCGGCAGGAAGTGGAGTTTCCAAGTTATCGTTAAAGTGAAGAAATGTCATTATTTGTTCGAACCTTCTTCTGGTCATAATCTTTGGAAAGATAGGTTTCAAGTAAGGGATCAACCGACTATTTTTTCCAGTGTGACTTTCTTATTTGTCCCATCAAAATTATTAATCCAAGAAACTTTTTCATGTCACTATTGGTTACATCAGTCCATTTTAAAGCCTTATCATACTTTTTATATGATTTTTCATTCTGTTGGTGATACAAGTTTGTTTGAGAAGCGACCAACTTGAAAAAGTCATTACCAAAAATTAATTCTGTTATTTTGCTAATACTTTGCGTGTTATTACATTCAATAGTTATACCTGACACACCTCTAAAGTCTTCTAATTTTTGTTATGAAATGTTGTCCTCAGTCCACTTTTCTGTAGAAGCAAAGGAGCATTCTCCAGCACCGTGAGTTTCATTTTCACTTTCTGTATCAGAATCAATCACTAAGGTTTTTTGTCTTTTTGTTGGTCTAATATTCACATCATCTGAATCAGAACTGTATTCTGAAGAACTACCATCTTCTGAGACACTAGCATATATGTCACTCAGACAATCAGAGAAAGTATCTGCATAAAATTCACTGAAAAGTTCTTCTTCACTCAAAATTTCGCAATGCGTTATTTTTGAACATTTTATGATAATAAACTTGCATTTATAATATACACAGGGTTGGAACAAAAACCTAACTGAGCAAAATGTGAATGATAATGACAATCATAAGTTGTGATCAATTTTAAGCTCTAACAACTTCGCATGGTGATGTTAATTGTATCACTCTCTAAAACCATATTGATACGTCTCTGGTCAATAATGTTCGGGTAACAAAAGACGTATTAATACATCTCTGGTCAATAATGTGTTAATTCTGGCATTCTTGGCAGCATGCATCATCAACTGCCTTAAGAATGTCTTTGTACTCTTAGATTTCATATTAAGGAAGGAATTACCTTAAGAAAGTCATTAGCAATAAACAAAGAGCTACAGAAACAATGTTCATTGCAACATTGTAATAAAAGTTAGACATAACCTGTATGTTCATCAAATAGGGGAATGTTTAAGTAAACCGTGATATATTTATAGGCTGTAGCCTCTGTTATGCAGCTTAGTAAACTAAAATAAAGTTCTAAGGTTAGGAATTGTTTTAAAAAATATTTCATGAGGAAGCATTCCCAATATAATGGTAGGTGGAAAAATTAAGATACAAGGAGATATAGATATGCAGAATAACTCCAGTTCTAGTAAAAATGCACATACATAAGACTGGAAAGAAATATATTAACATGCTAATAGTGATTATCTCCTGATAGTAGGATTATGTGTTATTTTTAGTGTCTTCATACTTTTCTATATTTTCTAGTTTTTCTGCAATGAACATGTATTAGTTTTATACTTAGGAAGAAAGAGTTGATTTTAAATAAAAATTTAAAAATATAAGCCATACTTATTATCCTTAGGCTTTAGATTTCCATTAATTGAATACCTTTGTTAGAGTATGAATCATAGGATTGGGAAGGACTTTTAATAAGTTATCATGGCCAATTCTGAGAATTTCACTGATGAATTTCAGACAGCTGAATTCGTTTTTTTAAATGTTAAAGTGTATTTTGGGGGTTTCATTTTGTGTGAAATTGACCACTCTTGCAATAAGAGCTTAGACCTCATCTTTTCTTTCAGTCTTAACAACTCGAATTTCTTTAAAAGTTCTTTATTGAGCCTATTCTCCAAACTTTAGCTTCTTGGTGTAGAATTTGATTTAGAAACCAGGAAGACTTGATGTTTATAAAAAACATTGCCTTCCATCACAGTTCTCAAACTTGGCTATATGTCAGAACCATCTGAGGAGCTTTTAAAAAATACAGATGTGTTAAACATTCTGATTTAACAAGTCTGGTCTGGGAGGGAGTAGGGAGGAAGAGGAGAGTAGGGTTTTGAAAATATTCCTAAATAATTTCACAGCTCTTAAATTAAAAATGGGCTCAGTCAAGAACATTTGAAGAAATTTAAATTACTGAGGCTGAAAGAAAGGATGAGGTCCAAACACTTACTGAAATAGCATTTCTTCTTGAATGGTGACACAAGCCTGGTTGTAAAAAGGCAACAAGAGGGCTGTTTTCTCAACTCTAGCAGAAACCCCTTCAGTGGATGTGTGCCCTGCCAGGAATCTAGATGCAATGGGGAAACATCACCATGATATGCTAACTCTATCCTTGGGTCTTTTCTTGGATGTACATTCAGGGTCTCTTTCTACCAAAGCCTTAATCTACTTGTAATGTTGCAGGGACTCATCCCTCTTCTATTTCCTCTATAGTAATAATAGTAGTTGCCATTTACTGAGTTCCTGTTACCTACTAGGTATTTATGTCCATCTATCTCTGATTCTTACCAGAACCTTGAAAGTCAGTTCTTTCACAGATATAGAAACAGGCTCAGATAGATCGAGTTTTTGATCTAAGGTCACATAGGAAATATCAAAACCAGATTTCAAAGCCTGCTCTGCTTGACTCCAGTGCCTGTGCTTTGTCTGTGGCATCATGGTGCCTGCCTCCTTGCTGCTCCCTCATGTGTTTCCGGTGTTCAGATGGCCTACATCCAGGTCTTTAACTTTCTTACTTCAGTGTCTGACTGTGCAGATTTGTGCCTACAGAGAGCAATGTCTTATGAAAGGCTGGGTTTCTTTTTAAAATTGTCCTTTCAGGGAACGGTGTGAGGAGCTCCGTGTTGAGTTGTCCTGTATCCATCAGAAGGCAGTGAGCAAGGATCGGAAAGCACAGATAGCATTTAATGAGGAGCTGAAAAGGCAGAAGCTGGTGGAAGAGCAGATGTTCTCAAAGCTCTGGGAGGAAGACCGACTGGCCAAAGAGAAGCGAGAAGCCGAAGAGGCGAGGAGACAAAGAGAGCTGGTGGAGAACACACGGCTGGGGCTGAATGCCCAGATCACCAGCATCCAGGCGCAAAGGCAGGCAGCACGGCGGCTGAAGGAGGAGGAGGCGCGCCTTGTGGTGGGTCTTTTGAAATGCTTGTGATAGGACAATGATCTCAGTGGCTAGAATACAGTTTCCGGGCCTGCTACTGTAGTTTGCCTGATGGCCAAGGCTCATTCACAGAGCAACAGACCATGGTCAGAGCCTTGGATTTCAAGGCCCAGCTGACAGTGCCATCTCATTGTATAGGGCAAGTTACTTCACTACTGTGATTCAGTTTCCTCATCTACAAAATGAGGCAAAGGGCACTTGTCTTTGTTGTGAGGATGAAATGGGATAATCATTGGCAGTGCCAATGAAGCCTAGTGGCAGTTTGGCAACATCCCCCCATTCTTTGATATGAATAATTGATAGTTTCCAAATCCTATATAAAGTGCTTATACAACAGCTACAGTGACCCCCCAGACCACCAGCATCAATAATTTTGTTCCTACAAGATCACTGCCCCTAGTATATACAAATTAGAGTTGTCAATGGAAATGTGTGCAAGCACTCAAAAAGGTAGCAATTTTATACGTATATAAAGCTTTCAACATCTGATACTTTAATACCACTAAATTTAGGAAGATGGTAATATTTTCTTGGGGAATCCCAAGTATTGAAATTTGAAACCATAAGAAACATCAAAGGTAAGGTACATGCAGAGCCCAGAAATCTTCTCTGGGTTTAAGATTGTTTTATTTTGAAGAGTTTAGTAGAAGATCTCTAAGAAAATCAAAATAGTGGCCCCCAAATGGCCTTATATATACCCCCTCCTCTGGTGTAAGATACTTAGTGAGCCAGTTTTACTCACAACACTTCTGACACCAAATGTGTGGGTTTTTTTCTCACATCAAACAATACTCTGATGCTCTGCAGACACTGATTAGGTGTCCTACAATTTGATTCAGTTCTGATACTATATGGAGTTAGTGTCAGACTCTGTAAGTTGAAGGGCTTAGTCCCACAAGACTGCCCTCACTTCAGATACCCATCACAAGTAGTGGGTCCCTAGGTTACCCACACTTCTGTCCAGCTTGGCTACAAAGTCCAAGGTTCTCATGACTCCCCCTCAGTTTCAGTAATTCACTAAAATAGCTCATAGAACTTAGGAAAGTGCTTTACTTACCATTACCAGCTTATTGTAAGGTATACAACTCAGAGATGGTCAAATGGAAGAGATGCATAGGGGAAGGTATGTGGGGTGGTACACAGAGCTTCCATGCCCCCACCACCTTGATGCATTCAATCCAGAAGCTCTCTGGACCTCATCATTTCGGGGTTTATGGAGGTTTCATCACATGGGCGTGATTGATTAATTCAATCACCATTGGTGATTGAACTCAATCTCTGGCCCCTCTTCCCTCCCTGGAGGTCAAGGGGTGGAGCTAAAGTTCCAACCCTCTGATCACATGGTTTGGTCTTTCTAGTTATCATCTCCCATCCTGAAGCTATCTAGGGGGTCCAGCCACTGGTCATCTCATTAGGCTACAAAAGATAATCTTATCACTTTGGAGATTTCAAGGGTGTTAGGAGCTATGTGCCAGGAACCAGGGGCAAAGACAAAATATTTATTTTTTATAGCACACCTAGCTATCTCTATTTCTACCTTACTTTAAAAAAATTTTTTTTTGGAAATAACTTTAACAAGGAGTTGCCAAAAATATTAGAGTTTCTGTGTACCTTTACATGACAAAATATTATATATAGAGACTTATAAAAACTTAAACTCGTATAATACTTTCAACTAAAGTTACTCCCTTATTTAACTAAACTAAAAAACCCTCCTTTGGATTTCACCAGCTTTTACATGCACTCTTTGGAGGAAGGGGTGTAGTTCTATGAAATTTTACCATATGTAACCACTACATTTATGTAACCACTACTGAATCAGGATATAGAATTGTTCCATCATTCAAAGAAACTCCTTCCAGCTACTCCTTTACTGTTATAACCTCTGTCAAAGAAAATTCAATTAACAATCAAGTTAAGAAGGAAAAGAGAATTTTATTCAAGCCAAACTAAGGATTATATAATACAAGAGACAGACTCAGAAGCTCTGAGAATTGTTCCACCTGTTAGTAGTTGAAGGCACAGTCATATACATTTTCAAGACAGAGGATCATACATCAAAATGACGCACTGACATTTTACATAAGTTCACCAAAGATACATAGTCCCTATACTAAAAGAAAAAAGGGACAGACAGAACCCTAGGACAAATGGTAAAAGCGAAGCTATGCAGACAAAATCACAGATAGAAGCATACACATACACACTCACAAAAAGAGAAAAAGGAAATATATATATATATATATATAGAAGGAAGCAAGCAACCAAATCAATAAACAAACCTACCAATAATAATAAACTCTAAATACTAAACTAAGATAAACATAAAACCAGAAACGAATTACATGCAGGAAGCAAACCGCAAGTCTACAGTTGCTCCCAAAGTCCACCGCCTCAATTTTGGGATGGTTCTTTGTCTATTCAGGTATTCCACAGATGCAACGTACATCAAGTTGATTGTGGAGGTTTAATCCGCTGCTCCTGAGGCTGCTGGGAGAAATTTCCCTTTCTCTTCTTCATTCGCACAGCTCCTGGGGTTCAGCTTTGGATTTGGCCCCGCCTCTGTGTGTAGGTTGCCTGAGGGCGTCTGTTCTGCACCCAGACAGGACAGGGTTGAAGTAGCAGCTGATTCGGGGGCTCTGGCTCACTGAGGCGGGGGGGAGGGAGGGATATGGAACGCGGGGCAAGCCTGTAGCGGCAGAGGCTGTCGTGACGTTGCAACAGCCTGAGGTGCACTGTGTGTTCTCCCGGGGAAGTTGTCCCTGGATCACGGGACCCTGGCTGTGGTGGGCTGCAGAGGCTCCCAGGATGGGAGGTGTGGATAGTGACCTGTGTTTGCACACAGGCTTCTTGGTGGCTGCGGTAGCAGCCTTAGCATTTTATGGCCGTCTCTGGGGTCCGCGCTGATAGCCGCAGCTCGCGCCTGTCTATGGAACTCGTTTAGGCGGTGCTCTGAATCCCCTCTCCTCATGCACCCCGAAACAATGGTCTCTTGCCTCTTAGGCAGTTCCAGACTTTTTCCCGGACTCCCTCTCGGCTAGCTGTGGTGCAGTAGCCCCTTCAGGCAGTGTTCACGCAGCCAACCCCAGTCCTCTCACTGGGATCCGACCTCCAAAGCCCAAACCTCAGCTCCCAGCCCGCACCCACCCTGGCGAGTGAGCAGACAAGCCTCTCAGGGTGGTGAGTGCTGGTCGGCACTGATCTTCTGTGTGGGAATCTCTCCGCTTTGCCCTCTGCACCCCTGTTGCTGCACTCTCCTCCGTGGCTCTGAAGCTTCCCGCCTCTGCCACCTGTATCCACCAGTGAAGAGGCTTCCTAGTGTGTGGAAATTTTTCCCCTTCACAGCTCCCTCCTAGAGGTGCAGGTCCTTTTCCTATTCTTTTGTCTGTTTTTTCTTCTTTCTTTTGCCCTACCCAGGTATGTGGGGAGTTTCTTGCCTTTGGGGAGGTCTGAGGTCTTCTGCCAGTGTTCAGTACGTGTTCTGTAGGAGTTGTTCCACATGTAGATGTATTTCTGATGTATTTGTGGGGAGGAAGGTGATCTCCACGTCTTAATCCTCTGCCAGCTTGAAGGTCTCCCCCGACGATAGCCATTCTGACAGGTGCAAGGTGATACCTCATTGTGGTTTTGTTTCTTTCATTTTTTTTTTTTTTTTTTTTTTTTGGCCATGCCTTGTGCATCGTGGGATCTTAGTTCTCCAACCAGGGATTGAGCCTGGGCCCTCAGCAGTGAAAGCATGGAGTGCTAGCCACTGGACCACCAGGGAATCCCTTCATTGTGGTTTCGATTTGCATTTCCCTGATGATTAACCATGCTGAGCATCTTTTCATGTGCTTTTTGGCCATTTGCATATCCTCTTTGGAGAAATGTCTTCAGTTCTTCTGCCCATTTTTTAATCGGGTTTTTTTTCTTTTCTTTTGATGTTGAGTTGTATGAACTGTTTATATATGTTGGATATTAACCCCTTATCAGTCATATCATTTGCAAATATTTTCTCCCATTCAGTAGGTTGTCTTTTCATTTTGTCGATTGTTTATTTTGTTATGCAAAAGCTTTTAAGTTTAATTAGGTCCCATTTGTTTATTTTTGCTTTTATTTCCCTTGTTTAAGGAGACAGATCCAAAAAAATATTGCTATGGTTTATGTCAAAGAGTCTTCTGTCTATGTTTTCCTCTAGGAGTTTTATGGTATCTGGTCTTACATTTAGATCTTTAATCCATTTTGAGCTTACTTTTATATATGTTGTTAGAGAATGTTCTGATTTCATTATTCTACATGTAGCTGTCCAGTTTTCCCAACACTTATTGAAGGGACTGTATTTTCTCCATTGTATATTCTTGCCTCCTTTATCATAGATTAATTTACCATAAGTTCATGGGTTTATTTCTGGGCTCTCTATTCTGTTCCATTGATCTGTGTGTCTGTTTTTGTGCCAGTACCATACAGTTGTGATTACTGTAGCTTTGTGGTATAGTTTGAAGTCAGGGAGCATGGTTTCTCCAGCTGTATTCTTCTTTCTCAAGATTGCTTTAGCTATTTGGGGTCTTTTGTATTTCCATACAGATTTTAAAATTATTCATTCTATTTTTGTGAAAGATGCCATTGGTATTTTGATAGGGGTTGCATTGCATTTGTAGATTGCCTTGGGTGTGGTATGATCCTTTTTTAACAATATTAATTCTTCCAATCCAAGAACACAGTGTATCTTTCCATTTCATTGTGTCATCTTCAATTCCATTCTTTAGAGTCTTTTAGTGTTCCAAGTACAGGTCTTTTACCTCCTTAGGTAGGTTTATTCCTAGGTATTTTATTCTTTTTGACGTGATGGTAAATGAGATTGTTTCCTTAATTTCTCTTTATGATTATTTGTTGTTAGTGTATAGAAATGCAACATATTTCTGTATATTTATTTTGTATCCTGCAACTTTACCAAATTCACCAATGAGCTCTAGTAGTTTTCTGGTGGT